GGAGCTGCAGCGCCTCAAGGACATCACGGCCGTGCACATTATCCTTACGAGCGACGAGACGAACATCACGTGGTGGGAGGAGGTCGCAGCTTACGGGTGGTACCGCATTGACCACAGTGCGACGGCGTCGACGTATGGCGCGTGGTATCCGGTCCTCATCGACACGGCAATTCAATCGGAGGGGAAAGGCTTTGTGGGGACAGACCGGTCGACGGTGTCGCTCATCGCGGGGCGCCGGGTGAAGGAGTGGAACGATGGGGTTCTGCGCTCGGTGAAGTGGGGGAAGGTGGGGGCGGACAATCATCAAGGAAGGAGCAAGGGGGCCCAAGGATAAGCAACTACCATATGGGGTAGAAGGGGGAGGGGTCGAGGGTCCGCCGGAAAATTTTATTTTACCCCAGGAAGGTGCACTGGGGAGTTGAGAATACCAGGCAGGACCTTAAACATGATTTCCCACTATAACCACCCCATTGCAGGCCTCTCACTCATCCCGTTAGTAAGGTTAGGTCACCGCGGTCCGTTTTGAACCAAGTTTCAACCCAACAAACCGTGTGAGTGTCACGAGAACGTTCATGGTTCAGTAGCTTCTCCCATGGACTGCTCTTGTGTACTTTGCCATCCAATCACTGCTATGGCCACTTTCTACCGCCAAAATATCACAGCTTGATGCTCTGCCGCCTCGGATATCTTTCCCTGACAGCGAATTTGATGGCATCATCCTTACGTAGGGGGGAGTAGGCCAAAGTGCCGGGGGAAAAAGAAAATGTAGGTGATATCCTTTTTTCTTATCTTTGGGCCCCCTTGGGAAGGAGTGATATCTGATCACTTTGCAAATTCGCTCGGGGAGATTTGTAGAATATTTGAGTAGTTGGATGAAAGCCGAGGAAGGGGTGAGGCATGTAGCTCGCAGACGAGTGGATGTTTGGGGGGAAGGGGAGATAAGGAGCGAGAAATTGGCGGGAAAGCGGAAGTACCATTGGCATCTCAAGCCTAGTCTTTGTTCAGACCAGAAACGGATGAATATTAGGAGATCAGAGGGACCGAACAATATCTGGTTGGAAAGAGAAAAAAAAAATCAAGTAATTTTGGTTGTACCACCTAAAGGAAAGAAAGACAGCAGTGAAAGACAACTAATCCAAATCTATCGCAAATTCTAAGCCGCTAATATCCAGTGTCACAGGGTCCAAGGACTTTGACTTGACTTTAATCTCGTTCAACCATTCAATACCTCAAGAAGGTTAGTTTGAACGCAGGTATGCCCGGCATACAGTAATTAACTGGGAAGCGAAATGCCACCACGTAGCGAAATATCGCGCTGTTAAGGCCTTCACGTGCTCAGATGGAGCCAGATTTTGGTCAGGTTATTCTCCTGGCAAAGACAGTCCAGCATGCAAAAGGAATCAGCTAAAAACCTCATATTGCGCCCACGCAGCACAGTTTTGTTTGGCCCACTGTTTTGGCCGGTTTTCTGCTGTTTTTCAACAAAATATCAACGTTTTTGGAGATGAGGCGCAGTAGAAAGTCTTTGAGTACTGTCAGAATGTGTCTTGAGGACCAGTGATATGACCATTGCAAAGTTTCAGATCCCGAGAGTAAGCTACGTCGAGCGATTGTGGCGCATTTCGCTTCCACGTGAATGGCCCAAAATAGGTGCTCCGGAAAGACCTGACCCGTTCTCCATCGATACCAGACCAAACCCCACGGAATTTTGGTCAGGCACGTAGCACGCATACCGGACTGTAGATCTATGACAAGAGCCGTGTCAATTTCAGCCCTGATTCCCGTGTAATTTACGAAATCCCTTGAATGTTTCGCTTCCCAGTTAATTACTGTACTTTATCGATGATCTTTGAGACTGACCTTGGACCTTTGTTCAAAGGACTTCGACTTGGCTTTAATCTTGTTCAACCATTCTATACCTCAAGAGGGCCTGACACTCTCAGCGTAGTCCTCTGGACGCCAAAGCTATGTTAGTTTGAACTCAGGTATGCCCGGTGATTTTTGAAACTGACGTTGGACCTTTGTTCAAAGGACTTTGGCCTCGTTCGATTAATTGCTTCGAGGGGGCATTTATTATTCTGCGCAGGTATGTAGTCTATGCAGCCATTGTGTTCGATATTCATTTACTGAGCGTAGTTGGATAGCCTCGCAATATCTTCGACTCGATCACTCACACTCAATTAGTCGGACCTTTGGCTGGATTCAGGTACGTGTCGATACTCGCTTGTTTATTGACCATCTACATTACTTGAACTCGACTCATTAATCGCGTTCAACGTTCTTGCACCAACGTAAGTCCGTTTCATCCTCATTCACTGACAGACACATCGCTGACCTTTTTTCGATGAGTCTATAGGTACTCGACCGCAATTGACTAGGACCCAAACCATCCTCGTTGTATCGATCATCTATCCAACCAACCCAAGTCACATACTCAAGCACGGGGTTCGACTTCGGGCACCTCGGGGATGTGATGCGTTGAACCTCAAGTTCGTAGTATGTTCATTCCTCGCTATGGTGTTCTGTGGCCTGGCCTGCCTAATCACTACCTGTCCCATAACTGACCGAATCACCACACTGTTCAATCTCAAGTCTTGTATGGATCCGAATTCAGGTGAGTTTTCATTTCATTTCATCTTGTATTCGTCTGTTGAGCCAGCTCTTCAACCACAGTTCCTCAAAGCTTTCGGCCACTAGTACTTCATTATAACTAATGCGAGCGTTCCATTGCTGGTATGTATTCGTTGCAGTATATTATATTATACTTGCGTCGCAGCCTCAAACCCAATCCAACGTTGCTTACTCAAACTGAGATACAGATTCAAAATTATATTTGTATTACTTGCATCGTGAGTTCTTACCGTGCATTTCATTCCATTTTACTTACCTTACCTTCAACGTCCGTTCAGCCTCGACTTCGCGTTATTCAACGTCGAGGGTAAGTCCAATTCCATTTCATTTCCGCGCCGCAGGACTGAACTTACATCCCAACGTAGATTATATGCTAGCTGCACTGCGCGCATCCGAGCTGGCTGGATTTGGTCCGAGTAAGCTAAGTCTTCCTCGCTCTTCGCGTGTCGAATCCAATGGATTGCCTCTGTTAAAATTACGCGCGCACCACGTCAAGCTAACCGAATTCGAGCTTGGCGCAGCTTGATTTCCGGCATCAATCCACCAAAGTCTCGAAGCCCGAACGGCCTCCGCATTTCGATTCAATCCAACTCCGCGCGCTCATCCCACAGCACAGCAAATTTGGTTTGCAGCCAAGTTGTATGTATTCAAGGAGTACGTACGTACGACATGCGGCGGCGTAGTGTACGGACTCGGAGAAGGAAAGGGAGGGGGAGGAGGGCGCAGATGGGGAAGGGGAGGGAGAGGAGGGCAGGGATAGGGGGGGGAGATTGCGGGGACTCGGCGTGCGAGACGAGTCCGCTTGCGCGCCTGCGCCGCCGACGCAGCTCCTGCAGGCGCGCACGCAGCATGTGCATGCGCGCGCGTAGCTCCGTCACCGGTAGAGCGGCGGTGCGTGCGCGGGTGCGGCAGCGAGCGTGAGCGCGGGGAAAGGACGGAGTTGGCGCGCGAGGGGACTTGAGGCAGACACAGACGCACACGACATGCGCAGATACGCACGCCCACTGCAAGCCGAGTTCATATGGCATGCACCGAGTCGATGGCGCGGGTGTGTGCGCGTGCGCGGCGGTGTACGAGAACCCGACCCGACTCGGCGGGGCGCAGGCGCTGGTGCGAGTGCGGGTGTGGGCGCGTGTGCGTTTGCGGCGCTGTGTACGAAAGCGCGTACGAGACTCGAGGAGTGCGGGTGCATGGTGCGCGACGGTGGATACGAGGGCGGGACAGCGTTGGGGGTTTGATTCGACAGGACGGCGTGGGTGCGGGCGATGGTGTACGTGGGCGATGGTGTACGTGAGGCCGGGGCGGGGGACGACGAGGACGGGCACGAAGGCGGGCAGCGAAACAGCGAGGTACGCACCTTTTTCCCCCTAACGCCCCACGTAGCACGAGGGCGAGGTAGTGTAAGAACATAGCTGTGTGCAGAGATGTGAGCGGGTGCAAGTGAGGTAGGACGTATGTAGTACTTTCGAGTGGGTACCTGGGCATAGATTGCGGGGCAGGCGGGGCATGACGGCGGTGTCAGGCGCGGGCTAAGGCTATTGAGGGCACCACGCGGCGGCGGCGAGTGAGTAGGGATATCGCCTCCAACGTGAGCGACGAGTCCCGTACTGTCAAAGAATGAGGTACGGCGTCCGCCCTGGGTGCGGTCGAGCCTCAGTGTAGTCGATATACGATAAGGAAGGGGAACCGGGCGCCATACGAGGCGGAGTCGAGCGAGTTGGAGCCGCGCATGAAGGAGACGGGGGTCAAACGCCCACCTCGACCTCGCTGTGGTCCGAGCTGGCGGCGTTCATGTAGGTTTCTGCAGTTGGGCGTGTATGGGAAGGCGGGCCGAATCGATCCACGTGGCGAGTTCGCATCACGGAATTAGCGGGGAGGCGTGAGTATCAAAATAGGGCGGCGTTTGTTGGGGTGAGTCGATTTACTCACTCGGCGGCGCCCTCCCCTCCCCTCCTCAATCGAGCTGAGCTGAGCGCAAACGCAAATGCGCGGATCCCCGCACGCCGATGCCGAAGAAGCGCCGCGCTCCCCGGGGTCCCCCTCATTACTTATCACCCGGCCGCCAATCACATCCCGCCTCGCTCGCTCGTTCCCCGCTGCCAAGCCCGATCCGCGCGCATGCGCACGTGTGCGGGTCGGGTCACGCGTCACGGTTCCGGGTAGAGGGAAGGTAGAGTAGGGATGGGTAGGGAGGGGCTAGGGAGGATCAGGGAGGGTTGTTAGGCGGGAGAGACGCGCCCTTGGTGTAGCGGTAACACATCTCACTCCGCTGAACCGAGAGGTGTCGGGTTCGACTCCCGGAGGGTGCCTGCCTAGCATCAATCCTTTTCTCAGTACTCTGTGGGGTTGGTTGGGAAGAAAATGATGCTGCGCTCTTGGTGTAACGGTAACACACTCTCTCTCTCTTTTATGAATATGAGGGGTCCCGGGTTCGACTCCCGGAGGGCGCCTGCGTTTTGATGACTGCTTTTGGTCGCATTTTCAATTTGCTTCCTTTTCATCCAGCTCCGTTCTCCTTCCTTGACACATAAACAACTAGCTATTCGTTTTACCTCGCTTGCATTTTGAGCTGGAAATGTATATATACATATGGAGACAGCAGATACCCGGATACTACTAATTCCATGAATACGAGGGGTCCCGGGTTCGACTGAACCCGACTCCCGGAGGGCGCCTGTTGGCGTTAAAGATGCCTTTTTTTCCCTCGCCCACTTCAAATGCCTTCGTCAATTCACTACTTGGATTCTTTCCAATCAAATATAACACGGTACAACAAGTTCAATCTTCAGCTGGTTGTAATTCATGGCGCCCTTGGTGTAACAATCAATCATCTCACTCGAGGACTCGGGTTCATCATGCTGAGCGGGAATTTTATGCACTTTGATGTTGTGAGGTTGCGGCAACCTGACAACGTCAAACAACCGGCAACCAAAATGTCGAAAGGCTGATGTTCGACTCCCAGAGGGCCCTAATACGGCTTTGTATTCATTTTTATCTTGAATTCAAAGCAAACATATAGACTACCCTCACTCGTATCGTACACCCTGAGCTCATGCCTTTGGTGGAACAGTAACACTTCTCATTCTAACTGACTTCCGAAATTGAGACACCCCAGGTTCGACTCCCGGAGGGCGCCTACATCCTCGTAACCTGTTTTGTGGCATTTTCTCTCTTGCTTCCTTCTGACTGTTCCATGTTCAGTGATTTTTTTCTTGGTGTAACAGTAACACACCCTCACTGCTCATTCCATGAATAAGAGTGGTTCATTTTCTTACTTACTTACTTACATACTTACTCCCCGCAGTAACTCCACCATGTTGGCAGCCTGTCATGTTGCGCTCTTGGTGTAACAGTAACACATCCTCGCTGCTCGTGTTTACGGATACAAGAGGGATTCTGAGTTCAACTCCCGGAGGGCGCCTTGATTTGATACTCCATGTTTTGCACGTTGTCAGCCTAACACATTTTTGTACGTTGTCAGGTACCCTGTCTTGGGTACAATTAGTATTGTCGCGCTTTTGGTGTAACGGTAACATCTCTCGCTCAGAAACCCGAAAGGTTGCGGGTTCGACTCCCGCAGGGCGCCTGGGAGCAGTTCTACTGATTTCATTTTGAATTCAAGGCAGACAAGATATAGACTAGCTACCCTACTCATATCTTGAACACTGAGATCGTGGCCTTGGTGTAACAGTAACACTTCTCATTTTAACTTACGAACTTGAGAGCCCCCAGTTCGACTCCCGGAGGGCGCCTAGGTCCTCTTAGAACTGGTTTGTGGCATTCTTCTTCTTACTTTTTGTTCTTCTGACTGTTGTTGTTCGGTTATCAAACTCACTGTGTAATAAGTATATGATTACATTTTCTTTTTTCAACCGCACCTCTGAGCTGGGTCCTGCATACGTTGGGAACATTCACATTGTGCTCTTGGTGTACACCCTTACTGCTCGTTTTTACGGATATAAGAGGGGTCCCGGGTTCGACTCCCGGAGAGCGCCTACATCCTCGTAAGCTGTTTTGTGGCATTTCTCTTCTTACTTTTTTTTTATTGTTCCCTGAGGGGGTATAAATACGGGCTGTAATTTACTGGAATACACAGTTTTTCCGCTCCACTTTACTACAGGTGTAAATGTGCCACTGCCGACAATCACGTAACTATTGCGGGTAATGTCCTGACTTTCTTTTTTTTCTGGTATCTTGTGATCTGACGAGACGACAGAGGGTACGGACCGAAAGTTGTTCCTTTGGTCAAGGATAGGGAGTACACCCACGGCAGACGTTAGGTCTTTGTCTAGATAGCAAATCTAATCCGAAACACTTTTTGTAGCTTGATCGTGGACTTTGCTCGAGCATAGATATTTCGACTCGAGCGGTGACTTGGCTCGGACAAGTATTTGACCTCGAGCTGCCGCTTGAATCAAGTGGCTCAAGCCACGGTAACACAATGTTAATCATAAATTTAATGCAGTATCACTTGGCAGAATATGGGGAAGCTCGAGTGAGCTCCAGCAATTTGCCAACTCAAGCCGAATTCCCGTGGAGACCAGGATCGCTCGAGGATACCTGGGCAGGATTCATGTCATGATCAGGCACGGATCACTCGGCACCCTTCGGCGCGAGCTGCCTTTTCATTTTAACTTCGAACTTCAGCAAATCATCCTTCGCTCCCGCTCAGGATATGCCTCTCAACATCGACTTCAACATGACAGTATAATCCTCGCGTTGCCACAGGCGGTCAAGGCTCGCATTATCACGACACCCCGAGGACGAACGGTTAGGTCCGGGGTTTGACATTTGGGTCTGCCCGGGGTTCGACTTAGGGTCTCCTCCGGGTCAGACAACACTCCTTTGCGTCCGACAACAGGATCATATGCAATGATCGACTCCTTTCCGTTGGCAACACATCGATCATAGGCGACAGGTATCAACCCCTTGGTGTCGCCTTGGCACACTCCTTTATGCTCAAAGGCCCTGAATTACCCCTTGGTGTCAGGGCAACAGTTGTTCCTATGATCGGACCCCTTTACAATACAGTATATAAGTAATAGTAGAATCTCCCGTACAGTAGATTCTACCTCGTCTATATTCCGGCCTTAGACTGGCCTGTTCTGGACTTGTGTGTGACTAAGCTTGTCTGGCTTCAGTCTTTTCTCGTTGACTCGGGTTCTGCCTCCTTGTGCTTGTCGTCGGCAAACCCCGGTCTCCTATCCTCGACTCCTTGGTCAGCGCTTCGACATCGGTTATCAGCAGGAGCTCTCGTAGGTGGTTATCGGTCTGCGTCCTCGCGGAGGATAGAACCACTATGATCTCCAACGCTCGCAATAACGCTGGTACCGCTCGCTCGGAAGTCGAGTTATGTCCGACACTATCTCATCGGACATCCCCTACCCTGGATCCTATTCCCCTGTGCTGGTGAACCTTGATATTCGAACCCCGGGGGTTCAGACCCCGGTCTCGGTGACATGTTGTCACACTCGTCGCGGGTTCTTCTCACGGTTCGACTTCACCTTGTGTGGATCCTTGGTGGAAGGTCATGTGCTACTCGATGCGATGACGGACTCCCTCTCAATACCCTGCCGGGACGACCTCGGGTCGTGATGGCTCCGGCGATCAGGCTGAGCTAAGCGCCGTCGCTGACAATTCATTGTAGGTATAAAATAGGGTTGTCTGGCGATGACTCGTGCGTGTGAGCCTCAGCGTTTGCGGCGAGTGGTGGCTGAGCCGCACGGGGTTGGACCACGAAGCTGTTCATATCCTCGACGCTGCAACCAAGACCCACGCGTACCGCAATCAACGTCGGTGCGATGCACTGAAAAAACACATATTAGGACAGTGGATTCCTCAACGAATGGATACTCACCACAATTTGTGCGAAAACTGCGCCGGTGGAGAGCTGTCAACAATGTGGTAAGTATTTCCACCTCCGCGAGCCTATCGCACAAATCGCACCCCATCTATAGCTATGTCCAACTTGAATCCAACGCAAACGATGGGGATACCGAAAACGCAACACAGGCCACCCGACTCCAGACTGAGTGAAAGTATTTTCAGTTAGACCGTCCTGTGCATCACATGAAAGTTGATACTTACATCATAGCACAGACCATATAATAAGTCCCAGCCGCTTTCCGTCCCATGACGAGCCGCGCTGAGCGCGCAAGCAACCAGATCCGGCCCACTTTAGCAGAAGATAAGGGTGGATAATAGCAGGGGGACAAGCACCAGACCAGTGAGTACCATCAAAATTGCTGTGGTGACAAGAGAGGCAGAAATGGATGCGATGAATAGGTTTATACCCACGGCATTCAGGTGGCTATCGTCGGCCTGGATCGGAGTCTTTTCGGAGAAAAAGTGAATAAGCAGTATCACGTTGGTGTACCCGAAGCCTAGGCACGTCAACTGTATGCTTAGTCCAGATGAAGTTGAACAAAGGCTCACTGGCAGCAGCCAAAACCAAAAGGGCGGGCAGGAGAATGATGGTGAGCCGGCGGTTCCAAATAGCGTAGCATCGAAATATCTGCAGACTTTTTCAGGACCAAACCAAAGACTTGTCGTGGGGCAGTTTTGAGACTAACAAAAATAATGTCTGCTATCACACTTGACAAATGTGAGCTGAGCTGCAGCATCCACTCGACCGGGAGGGTGAACGTACTTGCTTGTGATGTAAACCGCATTCCCCGCGACAGTGAACCCCTGCGCGATTCCGAGCGACTCCGGGCTGGTACGCCCCCCCCTGGAAAGAATCGTTCTGCCGAGTTCGAAAACACAATGCACGGTACCAAGAACGAAAAGTGAGATTGTTGAAATGTTGAGGAAACGATGTGTTTTTGCGGTAGGGCGCGTGCAAAGGACATGCAGGTAGAATGCAAACAAGACAAAGTAGCCCCCTGGTAGACCGGTAACCGATCTCTCTCTGAAGTGGGAAAACGTTCATAGAGAGACCGGTCGATCTGAGTTTGAAATGATACCCCACGCCATCAGTAATAGTTCGTCATGTATATTTGTCGAATATCTTGTCATCGCCCAGCGTCAGCGTCCGGCCCGGTTACCCGCGCTCGCTTGCCTCCTGCTTCCCACCGCTCCTCGACGCTCTTTCCGCCTTGAATCTCACCACCATGTCGCTGCCCTCCTCTTATGTTCCCCTGGCCGCTCCCTCTCGTCCCTCCCTTGCCAAGGCTTGTTGCTACTCGCGAAACATCCAAGATATCGCCCCAGAAGAGATTCATATCTTGCTATCCGTCATTCGACTTCTTGACACCGCAGATCTCCGGGCTGTCGCGCTTTGGGTCCTGCCGCCGCGTCTCATGCCTTCGACGGCCTTCCTCTCTGCATTGCCGGACCCAGATTATACCACGGCGCTTCGGGCTTGTCTTCTCGTCTACACGGTCACTCGCGGTAAGATCATACCTCGGGAGCTTCAGCTAGAGGCCGGAATCGCGACGGCTAATGGTCGTCATGGCCTCGTTATTGCGCCGACCGGCTGGGGAAAGACTATGTGCATCGCTATACCAATCTTGCTGTGTCCCGAAAAGATCACCATCACAATATCACCATTAAAACGACTTCAGCTTGTACAGGTCTGCCGTGCTTTCAACCAAATTTCACCCTCATCTCATAGTTTTCCAGGTTAAAGAGTTCGCCGCAAAGTTCGGAATTTCCACGGTCGCAATTAACGAGGACACACCCAACGACCCTGACCTATGGAACGTGCGTGCTTTTTTCTAAATTTCCGATCCATACCAAAGTCCTTGCTGCAGTCAATCGCATCAGGCCGTATATCCCATCTCATCGTTCAACCGGAGCAATTTCGCACCTTCCACGGCCACCTGCCCAAAATGGCCCGTCTGCTGCACGACTATAAATTCACCGCTCGAGTCGGCCGTGTTGCCGTTGACGAGGCGCATAACGTCCACACCGCTGGCCTGAAGCTTAATGGTCGTGCTCCGTTTCGCCCGGCATGGGGACTATTGGGCGACGTTCGCGCGAAGCTGCCCAAATCCACGATCTGGCAGGCATTATCCGCGACGTTCCCTCCGCATATCCTGAAGTCTGTCATCGAAAGTCTCTCGCTTCCTGCCGATCTCGCTGTCACCAAGGTCTCAGTCAACCGCAAAAACCTGATATACGCTACTCGTGTCCTCGTGAACGGCCGCTATGATTTCCGTAATCTCAACATGATATTTCCCGACGGCCAGCCCTTCCACCCCCTGATGTGCCTCCCCCACCTTCTCATTTTCCACGACAACAAATCGGAAACTGCGGGCGCTTCCCAACATCTTGAATCGCGGCTTCCTCCCCAATTCCGGAATATGGGAATATGTCGTCACTACCACTCAGACATGTCCCCGGAATATCTCGAGCAAGTCTACGCAAGCTTCTCCGACCCCGACGGAGACTGCTTGATATTGAACGCAACACAGGGCGCTGGAGAGGTGATTGAAGTGAATGCAACTTGAAGGCGCCGCCCTGACTCAACACATTTGAAAGGGTCTAGATGTCCCTGGGATCAACGGTGTTATAAACTACGGCATACCTGCGAAGATTCCAATGAAAACCCAACGAGACGGACGCGGCGGCCGCAGCACTGCT